CCCAAATTACACTGGGAGTGCCTCACTGTCAGTGTTATCTGCTGGACTTGGCTGTCAGTGTGACCTTCAAGTCCTGCTCTTTATTCATTTATGAATGAAGCATGCTTTTGCAGTCTGCATTCATAAAATGTGTGATATGTGTAACTTATTGTGTAATGTGTCAGCATACATTTTAGCACTTGAACTAAGATCAACCTGTCATTGAAGACTGCAAAGAAGGTAAGACTGCCTTGCTTCTAGAACCACTAGTACCACTGTCCAGCCCTTGTTCAACAAGCAGTGACAAAAATCAGGATGCCCTGCTAGTTTAATGCCAAAGACCTTCTACACTGCCCCTAGTTCTTGAATCATGTGAGAAATGTGGAGGTTTCCATTGCACACCTCCTTCTGGAAATGCTGCATGCCTGGTTGTGTCTGGCTTAAATACTCCCGAGCAGGGGCGGACTAGCAACTCATGGGGTCCCCGGGCAATAAGGGATCATGGGGCCCCTGTGTCCTTTCCCAAACTCAAAAAAGCCTATGAAAAAGGTACCATCTCATGGGGCCCCCTACTGACCTTGGGCCCTCGGGCAGTACCCAAGTTTCCAAATGGTCAGTCTGCCCCTTCTCCCGAGCCGCAGACCTGGAACAGCAAAAAAAAAAAGTTAGAGAAATCTCATAATGCCTTTTCTCCATAGCTGACCTGGGTCAGTGACTAAATGAATTGAAGACAGCATTTTACTAAAGCCTAGCACTGCAATGGTGTGAATGGACCTAAAAGGAAAACATTTCCAAAGATAGCAGTACGTCATTCCCTAAGGCTAGATTCACACTTCTGTGTCTGTATTCTCATGCATTTTTAAAGGATTATGATTTTTTTTTTCATGAGCCCTACTTGAAGTCTATAGGGCCAAAAATGTTGCACCAAAAGAAACATCTGTACCGCTTTTCCAAGTTGCACAGAAGTGTTGCTTATGTGTAAAGGGACTTCATATACAATAGTGAGAATCCTACTATTTTTCATTGTCGCACAATGGTCCAAGAGCGACAAATCACACTAGGCTAAAATATGCTATGCCTTAGTAAATCTAGACCCTTTTCTTGCAAGTCCTGCAAGTTACTAGTGTGTTGGCCCACAGCAACCAGTCACCTCCCAGATTTCATTTTTCTACTGCATGTTTGAGGATGAAACCCAACCGCTGATAGGCTTCCAACAACAGTCTAATTTTGAAGTATATCTTTTTTTAAATGTTGCATATTGTAAGGGAAGGCTATAATGCCTTTTTTTTTGCCATTGGGGAAATTTCCCTTCACTTCCTGTCCAATAGCCTAAACAAGAAGTGAGCCGAAATCCCTCCAAATGAGGGAATCCCTGGGTGTCACCAGAACTAGTGTGCCCATTGGAAGATTTTCCCTTTCACTTTCATTCTTGGTGTTAGTGGTAAACAAGAAAAATAGAGAGAGTGAATCTCTCTAATGGGGACACAGACAGCAATAAAAAACTGAAAGGGGTTTCAAACCTCACCCAGTCTACCCAAAACAAAAAAAAAGTTTTGTCTTTATACTTTTACTTTATCAGTTTTCTCCGGAATCCCATCCAGTCTATTTTCTGCTCCTATTGTATAATTCTCAGTAAAACATTTCCCAAACTAAGCAAATCATATTCTCATATTCTCTTCTCGGACTTGGCTTCGCGGCTTGCTCCAGAATTTGCTGATTAACTACAGGAAACATAATTAAACAAATGTTATTGTTTATTTTCAGCCGTCTCCTTCCTAATAAGATGACAACTGAGCTGGCATCTTACCTAATATGTCTGAAATATAAATTTGTTAAATAAACAAAACATTAAATTCAGCACACGCTGTTCGGTAAAAGCCAGCTTTTCAATATTTGTTGACATTTAGAGTCAATTAAATAAGCAGGATTTTTTTTATTCAGACAAGTAGCTGTTAAAATATCCCCCGCAGAATATTTTCCTGGTGGTGGTTGTCTTAAGAAGCCCCCCCACCTATACCAAAACAGGATGGCAATCTCTCGAGCAATCTCCTATGATAATCTAGGGTGGCAATGGGAGGTCCTGCTTGAGCAAACTGCATTTCAGCACCAACACAAGCTTCACTGAGAATTAAAGTACATGTTCACTTTTATCTACAAATTCCCCCAGCCCCCCTCCCTAGCCCCCTCCAACTGTGTTCACCCCCCAAGGTCTTTATTTATCTCCTCAAACAGCTCTGGCATACTGTCTGCAGCCTGACCGCCATTAAATATCCAGTGCTGGGCTTCTTGCATCTGGGCACTAACATCATAGGCTTAAATGGGATTACCCATATAACAGGAGCAATATTCAAGTCAGTGTGTAGGTGTGGCAACCTGGTATTCGGCCTGGCTGCAAACAGCATGGGAGACCGCAGTTGTTGGTGGAAGTAAGTATGGACTTGTGGTGGGACACAACTCTGGAAAGGGAGAATTTTGAGTAAAAAGCAGCGCATCTAAGGGAGGGAGGAGGTCCACCATGGGTACTACCACTTATGGGGTACTTCCACAGTTATGGTTAAAGTTTAGACAAATACACTGCTGGGTCTAGAATCTAGATTGACTGATATTAAATAGTAATCATGTACTTTGAACCCCAAGTCCAAAAATTAGAAAAAAACCTACCCTTTCATTGAGGTTGTCTGCACAGTATGGGATAATGCTCATTATGTCTAGAGCAGTGATCTAAAAACTGAAGCCTAAGGGCCAGATGTGGCCCTTTGCCAGCCTTTATCTGGTCCTTGGGGTACTATTCCTCCCACTGATTTGAGGAATGGTCCTTAACACTGACACCAACAGTGGGGCATGGTTTCCCCAACTCACAGCAATGACGGGGCAATATTCCTCCTACTAATATCAATAATCGGGCACTATTCCATTCACTGAAACCAATGACAGGGCACTATTCCTCCCACTGATAGCAACAATAAGGCACTATTCCTCCCACTAATATCAATGATCAGGCACTATTTCTTCCACTAAAACCAATGACAGGGCACTATTCCTCCCACTGATAGCAACAATAAGGCACTATTCCTCCCACTAATATCAATGATCGGGCACTATTTCTTCCACTAAAACCAATGAGAGGGCACTATTCCTCCTACTGATAGCAATGACGGGGTACTATTTCTTCTCCTATTGACAACAGGCACTATGAAACTCAACACCACACATGAGGCATTGTTTACTCTCTATGATGCCTAAACCACTTTCTAACCCTACTGGCCACAATCTGACAACCAAAACATCTGAAGGACAGTAAACTGGCCCATTGTTTGGAAGGTTTGGAGACCCCTGGTCTAGAGGAACATATGTGATGACTTCTGGCCCCCAGCTTTGTGGTTTGTGGGTGGTCCCTTAAGGTCATCATGTACAATGAAGGGCTATTTAAAAATGGAACTAAACACTCCTATTTTCCAGGCAGCAGTTCCACCCAGATCAAACTCACTTTTTTTGCAGCCACACACCTAATTGTGCAAGTAACACCCACTCACTGCAGTGATCCCCACAGCTAATACCTTTTTTTGATTTACTGAACAAAGATAATGCTGCAATCTTGGGATACAGCATCATTGGAACAGAGGACAGGGATGAGGGGCTGTCCCGGCAAATCTCAGCCATTTGGCATCAATAATGTTCTTACCTTACTGTACCTCAATTTCTACCACCTGCAGCTGGAACTCTATGGTATTCCTTTGTAACGTTCAGCTTTCTGAAGGTCAAAATGTGTACAGAGCTAAGCAAGCTCCCCTTTACCCCCATATAATTGAACTCAAAATTGATGATTGGCCACTCGGGTGCAAATACTAAACTTTAAAGGCAGGACAGGTGAGTGCCATGCTGCGCCAATCTTTGTTTTTTTTTTTACATCATTCTTTGAATATCAGATCTGGGGCTCTTCAAAGGGGCTCCTAAGGCCCTAAGGGGGCTCCTAAACCCTAAGGCCCCTTTCACATGGGTTGGACTATGTTTAGATTAGCAGGGGCTCTGTCCACTGATCCTCTGCTGATCAGAGCAGAGTGGGTGAATGACAGCTCTATGTCCACTCAGTTTATGCAGAGTGGACACTGATATAGCCCTCCCTGCTCTATGGGTGGCCGGGAGTAAACAGACTCCACTGTCAATTTACACCTGACTGCCCTCCAATCCGCCTAAATGGAGGTGGATGGATCCCCTTCCATTTTTTTTTAACGGACTAAAGGTAAGTGGGTCCATATGGGTGAATGGTGACTCCGATGAGTTCTGCCTGAAAAACTGACAGGCAGACCCAATTGGACCCTTCATGAGAAAGCGGTCTAACAATGAACTTCTATTATTTGCTCCCAATTGGTCTCTTAAATATATCATTGAAAGTATTTTGTTAGATCTGTTTGATAAGTGTGAACATCTTACATGCGGATAACCTCCTGTGCTTTCTGCCTGCACACAAGACGTTATGGCGATTGTGGGGGGGGGGGGGGGTGATTTTTTTAACAGAATTGGTCATTGGTGAAATGACCAGACAGGCAGGAATGGCAACTTACTGTTTACTACATAGGTGTAAACATAGTAGCAATAATGCAAAACAGGTTTAGGATGATAAAGAAGATGCATACAGACCCCCCCCCCCCCCCCCCCCCCCCCCCCCCCCCCCCCCCCCCCCCCCCCCCCCCCCCCCCCCCCCCCCCCCCCCCCCCCCCCCCCCCCCCCCCCCCCCCCCCCCCCCCCCCCCCCCCCCCCCCCCCCCCCCCCCCCCCCCCCCCCCCCCCCCCCCCCCCCCCCCCCCCCCCCCCCCCCATAAAAAAGCTGCACAAACATGGACTCTTCACAGCAATGCTTCTGTGGCTCAGTAAGTGTAACGTGGCTGCATAAAAGTATATTGTATATTGTATATATTGTAATAGTCTTTGTATACACTGCCACCTTATGGCACCTGCAGTTATTTGATCCTTTTTTTTTTCTTTTTTTTTATGGGTGTGATTGAAAATGCTAATTGTCTGGAGTTTCCCACTTGCCTACCGGGGACATTTACCCACTTCCTGCCCAGGCCAATTTTCAGATTTTTGCACTGCCACACTTTGAATGACAATTGCGTGGTCATGCAACACTGTACTCAAACAAAATGTATACCATTTTCTTGAGACAGATAAAGCTTTCTTTTGGTGGTAGTTAATCACCTGTGGGAGGTTTTTTTTATTGCTAAACAAACTAAAAAAGACTGAAAATTTTGAAAAAAAAACTTTTTTCTTATTTTATGTTATAAAATTTTGCAATTAAGTAATTTTTCTCCTTCACTGATGTGCGCTAATGAGCTACAGTTAAGGGAACTGATAGGCTGCACTGATGAGCATTGACAGGCATCACTGATGGGCACTGAAGGCAGCACTCGTATATGACACTGATAGGTGGCACTGATTGGAACTGTTAGGCGGCACTAATTGGAACTGTTAGGCTGCACTGTCAGGCACTGATAGGCGGCACTGATGGGTGGCACTGACTGGCACTGATAGGTGGCACTGATAAGTGACACTGACTGGCACTGATAGGTGGCACTGACTGGCAATGAAATGTAGCTCTGATGGGCACTGATATGTGGCATTGATGTGCACTGGTAGGCACTGATATGTGGCATTGATGTGCACTGATAGGCACTGGTATGTGGCATTGATGGGCACTGGTATGTGGCATTGATGGGCACTGGTATGTGGCATTTATGGGCACTCAGTTCCCTGATGATCAGTGTAGATGTCCCCTCTGAGGAATGCTGATTACTGGCTCTCCTCTCCTCACGTGCTGTCAGCATGAGGAGAGGACTGCCGATAACCGGCATTTCCTTGTTTACATGTGATCAGTTGTGATTACACACAGCTGATCACATGACAGAGCCGACGTCATCAGCTCTTTACTTTGATCGGTGATCCGCTGTGTCCCAAATACACAGCGCACCACCGATCGCCCCGCTGCTCGCCCCCGGGGGCACACACACACAGTTACGATTGAACCTTCTCCCGTCATTTCCTTATATGGTGGGTGGGAGGCGATTAAAGCAGATGTTAAAATAAAAAACGAGGGGGGATTTCACTTGCGATATGAGGTCACATGACCCATTTTCCCAGAAATATGAGAGATAATAAAAGACTGAATTCATCAAAGTAAAATATCAAATGTGAGGTAAATACTTTAAAAAAAAATGAAATCATTAAAGTCAATTCACTAAAGAACACGCACATCTGCTAGGCATCACCTGCCGTAGGCAGTCCTTGGTTTAGCAATGTACAAAATAATAGTGAGGGGCCTGTAAATGAAAAGTATACAATGTATCAGTGTGGAAATGTTCCGTCCTGAGCTCAGGAATGACAATAAATGGTGTCATTTCACCAGAGAGAGATCTTTCTATGAAAGAAAGCACACTAGAATGTTTCTATAGTTTCCTAATGTTTCTGTGCGCATTTTTTTCTTGACCAAACGTATACCGCCCAGATGAGCATATTTGCTGTAGCCCCATGCAGGTGCTCATGCAGGCTCACCACTGTATGCTGAAGGAAGAGAAAATGATGGCCACACACCAATAAGCACTTAATTGTGTGAAATGTGTCAACATACAGCTTGTTAGTCCTTTATGCTGCTTCTCTGAATACGGAGTAATAAAAGATGATCTGTTTGGATCAAGTCCAACAGTGGTGTGCAGCCTTCATTTTCTCTTCCTTCTACATTTATTTCTTCCTCTGGTGCAGCGTTAGCATGTAAAAAAAAGTACAAAAAAACAATGTTGAAAATCACACTAAATATAACTGATAAATATCACAAAACAGACATATTTAACTCATTCGGTAAATAACACTTTATTAGTGAATTGACTACATGAGATAAATACCACATGGGTTATTTTAACTCAAAAAAGAATGCGCCTTAGCAGAGGCGTCCCTAGGCAGATGCGGGGGTGCGCACGTCACCGGGTGACACCTACCGCACGGGATGACACCGGACCCGCTCCACAAAAAGGTAAGTTGTAAAGCAAGCCGACGATCCCCGCAGGATGGATCGGATCTGTGGATTGGGCATAATGGATCGGATTCCGATCCATTACCCTCCCCAATCCCCAGATCCGATCCATCCTGCGGGGATCGTCGGCATACAACCTAAAGGGGGTGTCACCGGACCCGCTCCACGAAAAGGTAAGTTGTATGTAAAGCAAGCCGACGATCCCCGCAGGATGGATCGGATCTTCAGATTGGGCATAATGGATGGGAGTCTGATCCATTATCCTCCCCAATCCCCAGATCCGATCCACCATGCGGAGATCGTCGGCATGCAACCTAAAGGGGGTGTCACTGGACCTGCTCCACAAAAAGGTAAGTTGTAAAGCAAGCCGACGATCCCCCCAGGATGGATCGGATCTGCGGATTGGGCATAATGGATTGGAGTCCGATCCATTATCCTCCCTAATCCCCAGATCCGATCTATCCTGCGGGGATCGTCGGCATACAACCTAAAGGGGGTGTCACCGGACCTGCTCCACGAAAAGGTAAGTTGTATGTAAAGCAAGCCGACGATCCCCGCAGGATGGATCGGATCTGCGGATTGGGGAGCATAATGGATCGGACTCCGATCCATTATGCTCAATCCGCAGATCCGATCCATTCTGCGGGGATCATCGGACGGGGTGTCACCAAGTGTTATCTTACGGGTGACACCAACCCTAGGGACGCCTCTGTGTCTTAGTGAATTGATCCCAAGGTCTCATTATTACATAGTGACTCATCCCCCATGTAAAATGGCTGCATTGATGCTCTAGAGAGGGTGACGTCACAATCTCTCCTGTGAAGTCCTGGGAATGCTGAGTATATCAAGTCCTGAGAGAAGATGTTCCAGCCCATCCTCAGCATTCCCAGGATCTCGCTGAAGGATTGTGATGTCACTCTGGCCTAGGTGCTAGGGATAAAATCCGGGGTAGGGTAAGTATGTTTTCATACATTTTGCAAAGGGGTTTTGTTTTTACAGTATGAATGCAGGGATTTTAAATGGGAAGAAGGACAATATTTAACCCCTTCAAGTCCAGACACTTTCACCCCCTTCCTGTCCAGGCCAATTTTCAGCTTTCAGTGCTATCACACTGTACCCATATGAATTTTTTAGAATTTTTTTGAGACAGATAAAACTTTATTTTGGTGGTATTTATTCACCACTGGGATTTGTATTTTTTTTCTAGATAAATTAAAAAGTCCAAACATTTTGAAAAAAAAGGTGTTTTTCTTATATAATTTTGCAAATAAATAATCTTTCTTCATAAATCTTGGCCAAAATGTATTGAGCTATCTTTTTAGTAAACGAAAAAAATATTCCAAATTAGTTTATAACCAAAAATTATAATTTTTCAAAAAAAATTTTATATTATTATTTATGTCTTTTTTATATTTTTTTTTACATACCATCACCTTAGCAGTACAGTGTCACCATAGTGACACTGTACTACTTGTGGGGGGGTGATGAAGATTTTTTTTTTTCTTTTTTTACAGCCATAAAGGCTGTAAAAGCAATCATTTCTCCTTCTCCCTGGCTGCATTCTTGCAGCCATTTGGAAATACTGTGAGAGCTATGATTAGTCACAGCTTGTCACATGGTACAAGGCTATTGTGAATAGCCTTGTACCATGTGACTTCTGTGATCATTCACAGATTTCAGAAATAGTAAGCAATGATGGCAGAAGTGACATCTTGCTTACTGTTCTGTTAGTCGATCCTGCTCAGGTGCTCACACACTGTAGTTAGTAGCAGACATTTTATTAGGTGCACATAGCTGCCATTATACATGTGTCTGCCTTCAGAACTACAACCAAAGAAAGGCAATAACACAGTTGTACCAGTATCTAAGTAGTGAGACCCCTAGAAGCCATACACAGCATATAACATATTGCTACATCCTTTCCCTTTTAACCTCCCTGGCGGTATGATTATTTCAGATTTTTGGTGCTGAAAGCGGTACCATTTTTTTGCATGGAAATATGTATTTTTTTTATTGTAGGCTGTAATTTTTAGGAAAAACTCACTGAAATCTGTCCGAACAAGAGTCTAGTAAACATCCCGGGTATGATAAAATTTGAAACACAAAATCATAAATTATAATTTAATAAATAATCATAAAAATAATATAAAAATAATAAAAAATTTAATTCAATAATATAATCAAACCAAAAACACTGAAATGTGAAATAGAGCGCCAAGTTCGCACATTGCTGAGCTCAGTCGCAAAATCGTTTTCAGTTTCTGATGACGAATTTCCCCACGAATCATTATCACTCAATTCTGTAAGTGGTTCTGATTTACTATCGCTGTTCTCTAGCTGATCTAAACCGCTTTTGACCTAAAGGGACACTTTTTGGACGCCATGGACATTTCTCAGTTTCCAGGCAGAAAGAACAGACAAAATGCAGGCAGGGCGCAGGACAAAGCACTAGGGACAATATTTATGTGAAATGGGTTGAAAACAGCAATGTTTTACTGTGTAAAATGAAAAAAAAAAAAAATGACATTTTTTTAAAATTTTTAAATTTCCCGCCGCCGGCGGCGGCGGCGCCCGTACGTCCCGACGTCACAGGGACAGGACACAGAAGCCGGATGCCGGCATCGGCCGGAGGAGATGGCCGGGGACGCTGCAGGGGACACATCGTGGGAGCGCAGGGTAAGGTAAGTGAAGAATACATGCCGGAGCAGTGCCGCAGGGTAAGCCCGAGTGTAGCTCGGGGTTACCGCTTTTGGTACTGAAATGTTTACCCCCGAGCTACACTCGGGAATACCGCCAAGGAGGTTAAATAAAAGAACAATGAAATATAACAAACACAAATTGGTGAAGTAGAACATAGCTATAAGTTAGATATAATCCTTAAGGTGAGCCAGCTTTCTGATTGTTCTGCCAGCTCGCGTAACATATGAGGTTTCTTCACAGAAAAATCTTGGTGTTCTTCTGATTCTGGCAGTCTATTTTCTGGGACTGTCTCTCTCTGCCTAGAGACCTCCCTATGCTCCTCAGCAGTCCCTGTTTCTTTGTTGCTGGTATTCATAGTCTCATCGCTTTGAGTGTCCATATACTGTTCCCAGGGCCCTGTATCATCTCCTTCTTGTGTTTTTCTCAGATGTCTCCGATTTCTCCTCCATCTTCTTCCTTCCTCTGTTATAATTTCATAGGACCGTGGTCCCAATTTCTGTACAACCTTCGCTTTTTTCCAGTGTTTGTCATATTTGCCTATTGGCTGAATCCGTACATTATCATTGCTCTGGAGAACAGGCAGATCTTTTGCAGATTTATTATAATAGAAAGCTTGCCTATCTTGATTCTTCGTTAGTTTGGCTTTAACATTGCCCACAATCTTTGGCTTTAGTAGTTGACCTGCAGTTGGTAGGAGAGTCCTTGTACGTCTACTCATAAGCCGCTGTGCTGGACTGGTTCTAGGCCTTGTGTGGGTGTGTTTCTGTGGTCCAGTATAGACAGGTATATCTCTGTACCTGCCTGTTTTGCCTTTTGCATGAGTCTTTTGGCTGTTTTTACTGCTGACTCGGCTTTACCATTACTCTGTGGATATCCAGGAGATGATGTCTGGTGCTCAAATTCCCACCTCTCCCTGAATTTTTTGAATTCTTTCCGATGTAAATTGAGCGGCGTTGTCAGAAAACACAATATCCGGAATGCCATATCTGGCAAAATGGGCCTTGAGTTTTTTTTAATTACTGTTTTGGCCCTTGTGTCTGTAAGTAGTCTATCTCCCAGAAGTTGGAAAAATAGTCCACAGTTACCAGATATTCCTTGTCGTTCCACGTGAACAGATCTGTTCCTTACTTTTGACCATGGTCTGTTTGGAATTGGATGTGGTTGCAATGTCTCTTTCGGTTGCTTATCATTGCAGGATGCACATATTTCACACTGTGCTATAAAGTTTTTTATGTGGTCATTCATTTCCAGGCCAATAAACTATTCTCGTGCACGACGTAGACATCCTTCTACACCTAAGTGAGTCGAGTGCAATCTTTTATAATGTCTCTTCTAAGGGATTGTGGTATGACAGCCCTTTCTCCTTTAAAGATGATTCCATGCTGCACAGAGAGTTCATCTCTTATATGAAAAAATGGGTGAAATCTCCAATTGGAGCATGCTGCTTGTGTTTTGGCCATCCCTTCAAGATGACAGTCTTTAGGATCTGTAGAGTTTTATCTTCCGCTGTGCAGGTCTGTATTTGTTTCAGTCTGTCTTTTGAGACAGACAGATATTCACACATATTGATGCTTTTCATGTCTTTTTCTTCTTCATTTGTGATGGGCAAGTTAAGCTCTGCTTAGGGCATCTGCAATCAGTAAATCCTTCCCTGGACAGTAACAAATGTTAAAATTCATATTTCTGAAGCCTTAACAGCATACGCTGCAGTCTTTTTGGGCATTCAGTAGTGGCTTCTTTGTAATAATACTTTCTAAAGGGGCTTTGTGATCTGAATGCACCACCACTTGTCGACCGTTAGGTGTACTGGTGAAATTTCTCTAACCCAAATACTACCGCTAGTAGTTCCTTCTTGATTTGAGCATATCCTTGCTCTGTTAGAGTTAACGCTCTGCTTGCATATGTGATTGGCTGTTATCCTGCATTAGTGTGGCTCCAAGGCCGGTTTCTGAGGCATCACATTGTACTACCACTGCTTGATCTGGATCAAAATATTTGAGCGTTGCTGCATCTGCAATTAGCATTTTTCACTGACTGAAAAGGCAGTTTCATGGCTTTCTGTCCATTCCCAGAGTACGTCTTTGTGAGTTAGCTGTCTCAGTGGCTCACACACGTTTGATAAATGCTTGCAAAATTTGAAATTGTGAAGATAATTCACCATGCCCAGGAATCGTTGTACTCCACGTATATCTGTAGGTGTCGGCATGTCCTGTATTGTCCTCACCTTCTCTGGATTGACTTTAAACACCATTTGAGGTAAGAAGATGTCCAATATATGGTTACTTCTGTCATTTTTAGTGGTTGAATTTTTCCAGGTTCAGTTTGATTTGTTTTTTTCTACATCTGTCTAAGGAATTGTATCATCTTTTTATCCTTTGTTGCGGATTCTAGATCATCACCTTCCCCAAAATATTAGTATATCGTCTGCTATTATTTTTTACTCCAGACAGTCCTTCCAAAGCTTGCATCAATTTTTGTTGGAACACTTCTGGAGCGGGCTTACTCCCATTTGGCATTCTAAGCCACTTATAGCGTCCAAATGGGGAAGAAAATGCTGTTAATAAACTTGATTCTTTATCCAGTTCCACATGCCAGAACCCATTTTTTTCACATTCTCATATCCGAAAATATTTTAGCCTTTTATAGATCTGGTAGAATATCTTCTATTGTTGGCATTGGATAGTGATTTCTTTTAAGGGCCTTGTTTCAGTGGCTTAGGATCAATGCATATTCTTAACTTGCCTGATGGTTTTTTCACTATCACCAAACTGCTGATCCATTCTGTGCTTTCCTGTACTGGTGCTATCATACCTCTGCTGTGCAAATCCTGCAGTTCCTCTTTAAGCGGTTGCATTAAGGCTAAACAGGTACTTCTTCTTGTAGGCAGTCTGGTTATTCTGTATTGTGTGATCAATTTCTAGTTTGTATTTACTTCCAGGCACCCATCACCTTCAAATAAATCAGCATACTCTGTTTTTATGTGGTGAAAATCCAAAATGTTATTCTGCCTTTTGTTTAGGATTTTGAGTATTCTCAGAAACTTCCAGAGCCATGATGTTATGGGACTGCACCGTTTTATTAAGTCCAAATAGCCTGAACTGCTTTAACTCCCAGCAAAGGGAATGTGATCGTCCTCCTGCAACACAGTAAACTCCACTCTGTAGCTCTTTCTGTTACGTGGATTTCTTAATTTTAGCTTGCATGTTCCCATGGGTTTCAGAACACTTTTGTTGTACATGACCAGTACCTTATCAGGTGGGCTCAATGGGAACCTGTTTGTTAATGCAGAATAAATGGAATGACATTGCAGCTTGCTCCACCACAATCCAGCTGAAATCTTATGGGCTGTTCATCCACCATAAATATGGCAAAGAGCTGCTTTGCATCATTGGCTACTGGCTTTTTGACTACATTGACATTCTCTGTTGCAGACTGCAGCTGCAGCCATGTGATGCCCTCTGTGCTGTCCTCGTCTGTGTCTTGGGTCACTGTGTGGACTTGTCTGTACTGTTTGCTGGTTTTGAATCTGCACACACAGCTTGAAAAGTGGTTCATCTTGCCACAAGTCCTGCAGGATCCCCATACGCTGACATTTCTCTTTGTCTCTTTCATGTCTTTTGCCACAGTATTTACACTGGACTGAGCTCACAGGGA